ATACATACATCAATAATACCTGCGTTGTTGTGGAATAAAACATTTCAAACACATAATGAAAATACCAACATAACATAGAAACTAGATACAACTAGAAATAAAATATTAGAATTTAACATTACAATATTTATTTATTGAAGTAAAATGTTAAACTTTAACATAATTCACAATAAAATGAAATATATTGTCGTAAACTTGATTGCAAACAAATGTTATCGTAACCGAGATATATACACGTAATCATTAATCCGATTGGGTGGTTTAAATACGTAAGGAGACCAAGCACAGTCTTAGGGACACCAGTAATTACTTCAAAACTACTTTAATATGGGTTCATAAATACATTCAATTAGTAAATTTTATTACTGATCCAAATATATACAAATTTAATTATTTTTATACATAAAAACACCACGATTTGCTTAAATTATGGCGAAAAATTTAGATGAAAATTATTTTCAAATGTATTTTTTGTTTATTTCTTTGATTGGTTTTCATTTTATTGGATGAGTCAAATAAGTGTTCTTACCAAATTAACAACCTGTTCAAAAGAGATTTTAAATTTGGAAATTTTCCAGGTAAAAGTTATTTTATTAAATACAGACTATTTTGTATCGCTTCAAAATTTAGGAATATATTTTTCGAATATTGACAATTTACACAGACACACAGAAACAATCCTGATTGCACCTCTGATTATAATACATATACTATAATATAATAAATAATTCTTCACAAATAATAACAATTTAATATTCACACGTTTTATTTAACCGGAAAGCAATAAAAACATCTTCAACTATACAAAATACATGTGTATACATCAGTTTGAAACTAGCATAGCATTTAGCTAGTTCTCTGGAAAATTCATATGTAGGGAAGCCAGGTACTGTATAAAACAATCAAGCCACAAGTATCGTACCCTTCAATAGTGTTATAATCTAATAAAAATTGAATTTTTAGTTATACACATTATTTCATGTGAAAATCTATGCACAAGAATTCCAGAATTGTGCAACTCTTTTCAGATTTTTTCTACTATTATTAGTGATTTTCTGAAATATAAAGTAGAGAACCCAGTTATAGCATTTTCTACACCAAATGATGGGCTTCATGAACGAACATAACATGGTTAAAACAATATTCTTTGAGCAATGTTGGCATGTTGGCAAGCATTATAGTCATTGAAACTGGTAGCTCATTTAAAAAGTTAAGTAATATATATATATATATATATATATATATATATATATATATATATATATATATATATAATGTATTGAAATTAGTGTTTGGGCATATGAGTGTGTCAGGAAAAATTATATTAAGTGATAATTTCAAATCCACACTTGAAACTTCACCAAAAAGTAAAATTATTTGTGGTTCAAAAGCAGAAAATACAGAATTTGAATTGGCTCATATTTCATTTTACAAGTATGCTTCAATTATGACTTGTGAAGTGGAAAGAATGTTCAAAAAAATTTACTTCTGACAAAGTAAGTGCCCTCAAATACATGATCATGATCTTGACATGCAATAGGCATTTGGAATTCACAATATCAATGAGTATCTGTATCAATAAACCAATTTCCATCACTCGTACCAAAACCAACCTGAAACATAAAGTAGTTGGTTCAAATATTTACAGAACATGACAGGTTTTAGCCTCAATTTAAAATAGAGATATGAGAATATTGCAGTAATCAATTCTACAATGTTTAACTGTCAGCAATGACAAATATATTTCAATAAATTAGAGAATATTATAAAACATACGTATATAAAAAGTTTATTGATGCTCGTAATTCATACAATTTACAAATATTAGAATTTGGCCCTACTCACTTATCATTAGGAGCTGAAACATGGATAGATTACGCGATTGTGTCAGACACTTCGAAAGTATTAATGTACGGTCAGATATCTGTTTCGGGAGTATCAAAGCATGATTTGCTATTTATGGTGTTCTATTCAAGTTCTATTCAAGGAGCTTTGGCATGACGTTTATAATCGAACATCTCTTAATAGTAAAGTAGAAGTTTTCAACGAAATTATATCTGACCTTTTCGATAAACATGCACCATGGAAAACGCGACGTGTGACACGTACCGCGGCCCCATGGCTTACAAGTACATTAAAGCAATTCACTCAGGAACGCAACTCAGCTTATCATCGCTTCAAGTGTAATAAAACCTCTGAAAATGAAAGAGAGTACAAAAAGTACAAGAGTAGAAAAATTCCGTAAAACAAAAAATTTGAAACGCAAAAATTCGATATTATCGTGATGTCTTTAAAGTAAATACAAACACAAAAGATGTTTGGAACAAACTGAGAGACCTCGGAATCACGAAAGCAAATTCTTCTGAAATTTCTGTCGATATGCCCTTGAATGATATTAATGACTACTTTGTAAATGTTTCAAAACCAATACCACCTTGTGTCAAGCGTAATACATTATCGAGACTTTCAAGCAACTCACCTGCTATCAAGGATAAATTTTATTTCCATAACGTTGATCATCAAGAAGTTAGTAAAATTGTTCTTTCACTAAAATCAAATGCAATGGCTCCGATGGTATCACAGCCAAACAATTGAAATTTGTTTTACCATTTGCCCTTCCGGCGCTCACGCATTTAATTAATTTCTCATTAACAACGGTAATCTTTCTTCAAGCGTGGAAACTTGCACATGTTCGCCCTCTGACATAATTTGAACTGACCTTGGCGTCTTGCAATTATCGCCCAATTAGTATATTGCCGACAGTGTCTAAAGTTCTGGGAAAAATTGTTCGAAAACAGATTGTAAAACACGTATCTGACTCAGATCTGCTCGATAACTTTCAGTCCGGGTTTAGAGGAGGTAGAAGCACACAAACAGCTTTATTGAAAGTAACTGAAGACATACGAAAAGCGCTAGATGATGGCCTCGTAACTGTATTAACTCTTTTAGATTTTAGTAAAGCATTCGACTCTGTAGATTACGACATCCTAATAGTGAAGTGCAAAAATCTACGTTATGATTCCACCATCTCTTGGATTGCAAGCTATCTCTACAATAGGCAACTACAATTTGTAGTAGTTGACGATCTGCTCTCCAATCCAAAATCTCTCCACCGAGGAATACCTCAGGGATCCATGTTAGGACCACTGTTCTTCTTAATTTACATGAATGACCTATCAAGCGAACTGACGGAATGTAGTCATCATATGTACACGAATGACCTGCAAATGTATATCTCCGGAAAACCATCACAGGTAGAAATACTAATAAATAAATTAAATAATGAACTCTCATCTGTAGTCAAATGGTCAATGAGAAACGGACTCAATTTAAAACCTACAAAATCACAAACCATCATAATTGGCTCTTCTCAAATACATAAGAAACATGAAGGTTCATATGTTCCTGATGTGCTTATAGACAATGTTGTAGTACCTCGTCGTACACAAGTCAAAAACTTGGGCTTAATACTTGATGATGATCTAAGTTGGGAATATCAGATTCGAAATGTCTGTCGTAAAGCTAATACTTCTTTGCAATTAGATAAACAATTGCCTTAGATAAATCGATAAATGTCTCCCTACTAATACAAAAGAAATGTGTTAGTAAAAATCCTGATGTGTCCTCATTTCGACTACGGGGATATTGTATATAACAATTTGAAAGATTCACTCGCTTAAACTCTACAGAGGGCTCAAAATTCCTGTATTCGTTTCATTTATAACAAAAAAATACGATCACATCTCCGGTGTTTGTAAACAGCACAAAATATTAACACTGAAGGATAGGCGGTTGTATCGAAGCCTTTGTCTTTTATTTAAGATGATAAAAATGGGTTCCCCGACATATTTAACAAATTATTTTGTACATCTTAAATGCTCTAGATTTCAGAAATTCCAGTTACTCTGCATTCCAAAAAGCAAAACCAACTACTACAATAAATCGTTCGCAATTACTGTAGCCCGCGAATGAAATAAATTGCCTCCCAATATTAAAAACTCCTCTTCATTAACATCTTTTAAGAAGCACCTGCATGATTTTCTTACTAAGAAAAATACAGAATTTTGCAATTTAAATCACCGCAGATTACGGGTCAAATTAAAACTATTTCTTAGGAGTGTTAAGATTAATGTGTTTTAGAAATAACTTTAATGTTTGTTTTGTAAAAAAATGTTACTTTCTTGCGACCTGTTTGATACTGCCGGAACTGTACTTTCATCCGTAGGAGAAGAGGCGGTTTTAAACAAGAAAACGACCCTTTGCAGCGTGGTCCGCAGCTGAGGATACCATCACAAAGACCCGTTACTTCATGTTAGCTTAGTTTCCATTGCATTAGGATACAGTCTGCCTGGTGGGTTTTCCCCGACTAGCGGGTTTTCCTCCAGGATCGAGTGATGGTGTCTTTCTGTATCAATAGATCACAGTCGCTCGGGGTGAATACCAGGCTGCACAGATATGAAAAGAACATAATCTTATTTAATTCAAATTATGGTGGATTGTTTTCAATCTCAGTCCTCATTTTAAAATTATTTCAAACTTATTATTTTAACGTTGTATCCATTTAACCTCTGATGTTAACTCTTTATAAGTTGCTTTAAACAAAGTATGCTTTCCACGAACAACTTACCACTTGTAGATTACATTACATTTAAATTTTTAGATAACATTACTTTTTAGTACTTTTACTATTACTACATTACTCTGTATATTTGTGACATGTGGTTAGGTGGAAGAGTAGGCCTGATGGCCCGAGCCACGCCATATTAATAAAGGGATATTATTATTATTATTATTATATGCAATGCATAATTGAGTATTAAAAAGTAATATCAGCGGCTGTGACTTATGTTCGGATTTGAGTAGTTATTGGTAAAATAATTCGGTTATCAACATCTAAAAGACGCAAAGATCTAATATTATCTAAGACAGACATATAGAAATCAAATTCGATGATGTTTTTGAAATTATAAATTCATATGATCAATATCATTCATATCCACCTGTTTTTATTGTAAATAATGAATTTATGGATTCATCTAATAAATATAACAATCGTAATGCAAAAAAAATTAGTGTCATTACAGGTAGAATAGTTCAGATAATTTCAATGGTTTGCCCTTCTAGGAGAAATCGATTAGTATTGGGTTGAAAAACTTGGCATTTTTTTATCATGACTTCATTAAGGAACCTCATAACTATGATTAGGACAATATTGATAATATTCACGTTGAAGTAGATATTTATCTTTGATGCACTTCACGAAATCCTTTCCTCAAGATTCCAAATTCCTTGCACATACTTACAAAAATTAATTATTGTCTTTGACTTATACTTCTAAGTAATTCCTTAAGTGCAGTGCATTTAAAATTAGCAATGTGAAACAACAATATAAGATACGATTTTCAGCGTAATTACTATGTGGATGAAGTGTTCTTCAATACAATGAATTCTTCAATCACTGAGACACTTAAATATTTGTGAAAACTCATTAACGACGCTGTTTCCAATATTCGAAAATAGTAGTCTCTTGAAATTATACTGTATACATATATGTTTTATTTAGGAAACAAATGTGAATGAAAACACTATTATTGAATTACAATTTATAATATTATAGTATTAATTTATAATATATCATAGTTATTATATTTTTATTAAATACCAATATTAGAGAATATTATAATTTCACATCTATTTCAATTTCGGAGGCACATTAAATTTGACACAACCTTGTTTTTTTTGTTTTCACTATTATTACAAATCATTCACTTAAGCATTAATAACTTATCACGAAGTATGCATTCAAGTTTTCCTAGCCAACAAATGTTGATTGATAAGATGGGAATATGAAATGTACTATATACTACACAAAATATTATGCGTAAAAATATTAAGGTTATGTGTATTAGCTTCTCGTATTTTCATCATGAACTTTACACTTTTCATAAACATTAGTGTAAAACCATTCACTTCATATTCCATCAATGAACTTGTGTAATGTTCCCGTAAAGCAAATTTTAATGCCATGATATATATTATAAAAATTGGTGTAATTCTTGAAAATTAAAAATAAAATACATTAATATGGCGTTGATGTCATGTTATTTACTACGTTTAGCAATTTACGCACACATAAATTAAAGTAAACATTTGGAACCGTTTTAGAGACAAATCTTTGAGTAAAATGTGGCATTGGCGCTGGATGAAAGATCCAGCGGCTATCTACACGCCGGCTTTCGAGAATTTCCCAATAACGTATCTCTCACCAGCAGGGCACCGCTCAGTCCGGCACAAGCTGTCAGTTCCCGACTGCTCTTCTGACATGCATGGTAGTGTAGTGCAGTGTAAAAGTAAGGAGTGGGGGCAGGGCAAGGAGGAGAAAGAAAAGATCGCGCGCGGTCCGGTAACCGTTTGTTATGGTTCAGCTCCTACATTCGCCTGGTGTTGAACGGAAAAAGTACTGAAACAAACCGATCAGAGCAGCTAGAATTCTCCTCGAGACATTTTTGGAACGTTTTGAAAAGTCTCACGGGCTTTATGTAAAGTATCCCCAAAATTTAAAGAACAATTTTCACAATCACAGGAGTTTGAGTCGGGCCAGATCGACCTGAAAATTCTCATTTTGGCGAAAATTCTAAGAAACTTAGGCGTAAGTACATTACTGTGTACTACGTATTTCTCTATATATATTATTATATATTTACATACAAATGCGAGAAAGTGAAGTATAATGGTCTTAGATATGATACCAAAAATATAGGCCTGACTTAATGTTAGCGTAATTAGAATTGGGTCTATACAAAAAAGTAAACATTTCGAAGTATTAAAAAATACAAAAATACACTTTAGGACTACATAATTGATGTGGATAAACAATGATATGCGATACTTTGGAAATGTGTATTTTCTCTAAGTTTGCTGACCGAGAAACCAACGATCCACACTTTCAATTTCAATCTCCCTTCTTTTTCGTATTGTGTATTTCTGCTGCTTTCTCCGCGAGTTCCGATCTCTGAAAGAACTGAAATATCATCTCTAAAAGCGGCACTCTCTCATCTGTCTTTTCTCAAAAACTAATCAACATCGAATGCTAAAGAGGGAAGACTTGTGCTTTCAGTGATGAAGGTTAAACGAGATAGGTACCGTGCCTTTGGATGATCGTATTTGAGTGTTGTGGCTTTGTCGGAAGTGAAACCGGCAGCTTGAGGGGGTAACGGAAGCTAAAAAAGGAATAAAAGCGGTGGCAGGAATATCCGAGACAAACGATGGTTGTGAAAATGCTTCTGAAGGAGTTAAGCGACCTTTAGAAATGGGGAATAGGTCAATGTGGTAAACCGGGTGGAGATGCCGGGTGGAGTTGCCGGGTGGGGCTGCAAATGAATATACGACAATTTTTTGGTGTTGTTTAACTTATTAACTGTTGTTGTTTAACTTATCTTATTAACTATTTAGAAAGAAAACTTTAGAAAAACATTAATTCAACAATAGATCTTTCGTTTAATTCTAGATTATGTTTTTATTGATTTATTCCTGTATTTATTTATTCATCCATTATTTATGTTCGCACTCTAACAACGCAGGTCATCAGCGACTTCTCTAGATAATGTTATCTATGTTGACGATGCTAAGGTTTATTCTTTTAACGAATTTAATTCTTTAACGAAGAAAATAATTCATTGTAAATATTAAAAAGAGATAATATTGAGTTGAGAATTCATAAGACAAACAGCTAGAGAGGGATCGAAAGCAGAAATAAAGGATAAGAAACAAATGGGAAAAAAGAAAAGTAATGAAAAGGATTAACAGCACGAATCAGGAATAAAGCGAGGAAGAAGAAACGAAAAACCTCCGAGACGCAAATGTATCTCGGTGGTGCAATACGATTGCAACGAATGCATTTAGAAAAAATGATCAGCCGTGAACATTTGTGGAACATTCGTAAACAATATTAAATACGAAATAAATTTTATCATAACACAAATTGGAAATTAATGCTGAACCAGAATATTTTTCTGACATTTCTGTAATAGCGCTCCGATAACTGTGAGATAGAATGGGTGGCGATTTTTCCTACCTCCCTTCTCCCAAGAAGGAGAAAAACATAAACGTATTTGTAATGCCATTATCTCTCACCTAGAAACGATGAATGATGTGATGGGGAGGATGTTATGCAATTTATGAAAGATGACGTAGCTATGATAGAAGAAACGGGAGAATTCTGAGAAAACCTACCACGAACGTGCATTGTCCACCACCAGTTCCATCTGAAACACACCGACTATCACAGCTATCGCACAGACATCATTGCAGCTGACTATGCTCCGAGACTGACTAGGAGATGCTAGGATTCGAGTCCCTATGGGATGGCGGATTTCCGACATAAGCTAGACAGGCAGATTGAATTCAGCCGCCGACTGGAGGCGAATTCTAGCGGGCGGCGAGGTCTGATTGGTTCTTTTCCGTGGTTTCTTCGATGAACGCCCAACAAATACAGAAGCCAAGGGTCACAGACCACGCGCGATCTTTCCTTCCTCTTCCTCGTCCCATCATCTCCCCTTATTTACACACACATACGCTTACATGCACTGCACTATTACATATATTGAGAGACGTGTAAGGAGCTAAGAGCTTGTTCAGTTTTGGGCGGTGCTGGGGCAAACAACTAGACGCAGAACTGACGTGTAGGTCAACGCCGGATCTCCCTATCGACTGGTGGAGGAACATCGCCACATCTCGTGAAAACACACTCACTGTACTAACCGGACCAATGGGCAATCAGTTGTCGCGCCCGGAGTCATCAATCAACCCTCCCGCAACAACTGAGATTTGCACCTCGGCTCCGGGCGTGGAAGGCAAGCGAAGCAATGTGACCGCTACACGACGGGGCACCCGGCAGACACGCACAGCGGGAGGTGAGGGCGGCGCGCGGCGATGAGGCCGCGGGGGGTGGGGGAGGAACGTCGCTGAGAAAGCGCTGCGCTGCGCCGCGCGTCGCCGCGTCCGCCCGCGCGCACGACCAATCTGCCGGCGGAGATGAGCGCTCCTACCCCGGCTCATTTCCCGGCCTCCCCGCCCCGCCCCGCCGCCCCATCTCCACGCCCCGCGAGCGGCGCCGGGGCGGCTAAAAACCCATCGACGGCCGGTGGCGGACGATGACGCGATAGCTGCTCTCGCCTTTGAGAAAGCAGGGAGGGGGGCAAGAGAAAGAAATCCTGAAGAAAGGAAAGGGGAAACGGGGGCAGCCGCGATGGAGTTGGATGAAGGGGACTAGATCAAATAATTCGGGAAATGGAGCGGTGGCTTTGTGCAAAAATGTTTGAACATGTTTTTTACCTTAATCCTGACATACGTGTAAAGTTACAGCTCCAAAGAACCGTAATCACAGATTTACGACCAAATATTCGATATCGTATTGCTGAGGTGATTCCAAGACGTTTCCGACCAATAACCCCCCCCCCATCTCGAACAGGTTTTTGTCCAGTTTCCCTGATCCATTGATCAAATGCTGAGATGGCCCCTTGTTTTGGTTCTGGACGTAAATGTAGCTTCACTATACGCACGTTTTGTTGAACTCTCCTTTTGCTTATAATGGTAAGAGTAGAGGTAAGAACAAGTTACAATTTTGTTATCAATGCACAAAAATCATACTTGCAATTCGTGTACCGATGCAAATAAGTTTTCTATAACTCAGAAACGAAAATGACTATTTTTCAAATATTGCTAATCATGCGATTTTTAAAATTTATTTTTATTTATTTATGTTAAAATTTTACATATCTTTCAACTATTATTAGTTAAAATGACGGGAAGGGATTCTGGAACTCAAGAAAACATGCGCAGATAATCTTTTCCCCCCTACGTCACATACAGTTTTTACTGCTTTTTTTTTGTTTGTTTTTTTGACTGAATAAATCTAAATCTAAATCTAGGGAGGAAAAGTAAAAAGAGTGAAAACAAATGTAAATAAACGTCAAGATTACAGGGGGATTAAACACAATGTTTTTGGTGTTTACCACCTGAGGTAATTCAGAGACGAGAATCCCTCTTTTGTAGTCACATGCAAGGTTAGTAGATGTTTTAGGATAAATAATGTCATACGCATTCTTTAAGCTTCGTTGAATCCCCGATTGTACCATTCTGTCTCATTCTGTCGTGAGGGCACAGAGATATTTGCTCCATATGACATTTCTTGAAATGACTTCATAGAGATATGACATTTCTTGAAATTTACAAAAACCAAATCTAGAGGTTAGTCACATTCCATCTTTAATTGTTAATTCATATTTGAAAACTGAATTATAAAACTGCTTAGTTTAGCTCAGAGTCAATCTGTACAAGTGTTCTGACAGGAAGGTCGTAGGGTCGAGTCCCGATGGTGGCGTATTTTGGACTCTAGATTCATAGCTGAGACAAATCGCTGTATAGAACGATATTCTAGTGACCGAATGTCCTGGTCGGTAATTTTCCGTGTTTTTCTCGACCAATAGAAGACAAATGCTAAAGCAGTACCCTAAAAAAGGGCAACGCTCCTCCACCAATTTTTTCTTTCTTCTTCCTTGACATATCTTCATCCCTTACTTACATACTCTCACACTACATGCTCTACACTACCACGCATGGCCGAAGACGAGTCGTGAGCTTAGAATTTGTCCCGGCTGAGGCGGTGCCCAGCTTGGGGAGATACCTGGGGGAAAGTCCCTCTCAAGCTGCCGTGTTGGTCTGCGGCGGAAATCGCCATCCAGCGGGGGAGAGCCACCGCCATCTCCAGGCATAAACTACTACACTAAAGACACTAATGGCCATTACAGTTGATGGGCACGGAAACATAAATTCAACGAATCAATTAAAACCGAAACTAGAAATAAAATAGTTGAACTTTGCCAGTTCTTTTGCAGAATTGCCAGATTTTTTTTGTTATTTTATCGTTATTAAAAACGTAAGATTGGGTGCTAACAATTAACATTTGGAAGAGATTTCAATATTTGAATTAAACTCTTACCCGTACATTTCATTATCACTTTCCTCCACTTGCAAATACATTTCAATTGCAAGTACATCTCGTCTCCAAAAACGTTTAAGTTCGAAGACCGAGATCTAGTATCTTGTCGGATACGTTACCCATAGCAAGTGCGACCATGTAAAGCCCTGAAGTGTCAGCCTACGCCTGACACCAACTACAACGATTGATAGCTTTTGGTGAATTGCTACACCATTCTTGTAATATTCAGTACGTGTTAGTACCGTTGACACATGGATGCACCTACATTGGGCATCATGCAGATCGCTGTGATCTCAAGCCGTTAGGAATGCCACGTAAACCTCAAGATCTTCACTAAATACTACTTTTTTCGTAACCATCGTGATACGTGGAATCTGGCCAAATGACAGCCGGTGATCTTCAATGAGTCCCTCTATGACATTGGTGGCGAAGGTCAACGTTTTCCATTGTGAAGGCAACGTAGCCTGCGCCATGATAAAGGATTCACATTTCCTCACTAACTAAACTAATGGTGTTGGGCGCCATATTTGATGATGGTGATCACTGATGCCCGTCGCATATACGCTACAATGGCTCTACGATAAGCCTACGATGTCAGTGACCTTCTACAGTCAGTGACCCTAGAGTTAGGGGACGCCCATCCCTCTGCTCTCTTACAGCGGAACTACGCTCGCCATCCTACTGCTGAAGTCTGAGGAGAACTTGTCTGGAAGACTTGCTGACTGGCATGGTCATCCACATCATTAGGCCATCCAATAAAGAATGAATGAGATACTATGGGACAAAAATTATTTCAGCAAAATCTAGAGGAATTGCGTCAAGCTGCATGTACTCAAGGAGTAATACATTTTATTTGGGATGTGTACAATTCCATGCCACAAAGTCTGACAAGGTGTTTTCGCACACATGGCAGCCCAACGTCGTATGAATGACTTTAAGTTTGCGTAATGAAATAAGCAGTTTACAGGTCTTACTACTTTCAAATTGTATGAATAATTTAATATTCTTAGTGGATTTGCTTCCTTCCAAATATCACTGCTGTCTGATCTGAACTTCTAGGAGCAACGATTCATGTGATAGGAAGTGTATGTGTAATATTGTGGTAGCCTAAGAGGTGTATATATTATATCTCAGCATTTCTGTGTCTTCAAAGAAATACACTCTTAAACACTACTTCTTAAACTTAATCATGGGGAACATTTTTCACACTTTTACCATATGGCAAATTTTCGTTTCTTCTGATTATTTTTTTCCACAACGAATTTTACACTTTCTAATAATATAACATTAAATAATTGTATATATAGTATTAAATAAATAATATTATAAAATAAATTTATACATATATTATCAAATGTTTAATATAAATAATATATAATAATATTTAAGAATCCATTGCAGACTACTTTAATTAATGGACATGACGACTTATTCAAATATAGAAGGGATTGTAGCAGGGAATAGATACTCTACTTGAACATGTGTTCGGGTAAAAATAATCTTCTTCTTCTACCAACAAGGATTGGGCTTCAAAGTGTTCGGGTTTTTTAAATTCCTGTGTATGTCTACACATATATTTCTACACTTATATTAAGTACTTACAATTCCTCCCTTGTTATAAACTTTTGTAGTAAATTACAGTCTTCGTTCTAACTGGGAATTTGCCTTTAAAATACATTGTTTTTGTTTTGTTGGCCGAAATTTTAAAACTATATTTTCACTATTTTGTTTAAAATATTTACCGCGTATTGTAGCGTATCTTCACTATCTTGCAGGTCGTCAACATAGCATAAGGAGTGAAAATAAACATTTTTCCTTTCATGAATTCCTTTATCTGCGTGTACCTTCCTCTATCTGATCATTTCGTCCATGAAAATATTAAAAAATTGTTGGGTATAGTCTGCATTCTTGTCTCACTTTTTTGTTTGTGGGATTCTCCTTCGTTAACTTAGGTACTGTTTATATCTAAGCACATTGTGGTTCCCGTGTACAGGCATTTAATAGGTCCGGTATAAAATGGGTACACCCTCTTTTTAAGAATTCTCTATAGCAATATTCTGTTCATATGATCAAAATCATTCTCTAGATCTATGAATACCGTATGTGTTCCGCAGTTCACTTCCCTTCTCTCTTCATTTATTATTTTGATTCAGAATAGAGAAATCTGTACAAGTTCGCCCTTTCCTAAAACCAACTTGCTCTTCAAATATAAGTGTGTCTGCTACGACTTTTAAACAGTTGTTTGCTATTCTAAAGTACACTTTATATGCATACTTACATTGCCATATTTATATGCAACTTCAATTTGGGTATCGTCAGCAACACTCTACCACAGAGCAGATAAACAGGATAACATCGTAGATGAAAGCAACATTCAAAATAAACAATATTGTTCTGCTGCCTTCCTTAGGCCCTCAATAAGGTATGACACTAAGGTCTCCTGTATAAACGTAAGAGCCCCAACCTACCCCACGCATGTTTCGATATTTTCCAATTACATCTTTCAAATCGATACTGCGAAATGAAATAACAACATGAGATCTAATACCTCCTTTCTATGAAATCTGGATTGTCTCAAGAAAGTGTTCTTGGACCAGTACTACATACAGCACATATTCCGGAGACTGAAAACACAATTATTGTCACTTTTGCAAATGATACAGCTACATTGGCTTCTAACAACGATTCTCGAGAATCATCACGAAAACTTCAAGGTCGCCTTACTGCACTTGAATGATACAGGAAGTGGAGAATGCAGATAAATGAATATGTAAATCAGCACATATAACATTTACTCTAGGAATAAACTTGTACACTTGTTATGATCAACAGAAATCAAATAATGCAAATTGAGAGTACTAAATGTCTAGGTGTACATATCGACACGTAGAAAAAACATATTCAAATAAAAAACACGAGTTACAGTTACAACTAAGAAAACTATTTGGATTATTGGGCACAAATCAAAATTACCATTTGATAATAAATTATTGATTTATAAAACCATGCACGTACCTGTATGGACTTACGGACTTTACATCTCGGGCACTGTCAGCAGAACAAATTTGCCAATTCAACAAATATTTCTATAAAAACCTTTAAGAATAACTTCATCTCAGTTCATAACAAATGCTGCACTACACAGAGACTTCAATACAGCAACAGTTCAAGAAAAGATTCAAGAAATAAGTTCAAGAAATCAGCAACGTCTGGAAATGCATCTCAATCATTTAGCTCTAAACCTACTTGAAAATTGCTAAGAATTTTCTCGACTGAATATAATTTCCAATTTTCATCTCTCCCTCCGTTTTAATAATTAACATTTATCTAACTATGTTTTCTTGATTTGTTCTAACATGATCACATAGTCTGAAATCTTCGTAGCCCATAACAATGTAATCATATTGTAATGATCATTTTATTATAGATTTGAAAAAAAATCCAAACGTACCATCCCAAGAATAGTACCATTGGGTGACTTTCTTCATTTTGTTTAATTAACTATTGTTATACACATTTATGACATTTAACTATTATTTCACATTTGAAATAAATTGTATATATTTGTTGAATAAAAAACCTTGACACTGTGACTCATGGTTTGGAAGTAACTAGAAAATAATGAAAACGATTCTTAATTATAATATATTTATATTTTATTTATTTATTATTGCCTTCTTCGACAATAAAGGTTATAATATAATATTACAATTCAATTTTAGGTTCGAGTAACCACAACTGATTTTTGTACGTACTTCGTCTCTAGCTACACAATAATACAATTCTATCCTTTATTAATTTAATAGGATTTATTTTTTGTTCATTGCTGATTATTAATCTGAAAAATATTTTTATCTGATTTCAATGAAGGTGGACGAAATCAATACTTATGAAATGTTGATTTTATCCCATTAGGGACAGCAACATAGAGTAAATACATTTTTCAGTAAAAGGAGTAAAGTTAACTGAAGAGAAGAAATTTTGAAAATATTAATTAAATATTTGAGAATTTGGCAGAATCATCAATCACCGTAATCACCGTGGGTATTCTAAGTGTGAAAATCCTGTATTCATATTTACTAGCATTCAGAAGTTGAAGTTAGGTCAATATTTGTGAGTAATTTTATGAATAAACAGCATCATTACAGTTGCAAAATATTAAAGTAAGTATTTGGCTCTCTCTTGCTGGTTCTATTATATTTTATTAACTTTTTATATGAAAGATAAGATGCTTTCTTCGCCTAGATAGTGCCCTTTTTTACTTTTTTCTCTCGACTCATTCAAATTCCATCCATTAAAATCCTTCACACACAATAATTTATATCAACAAATCTGAACTCTGAAAGACGTCGTCCACTATTCAGATGGTTGAACACCTTCAGCACTGCGAACTTTTCTAACGTGCACCTGTGACTGCCCTTATCTACCAACGACAAATTCCCGCACAAACCAGTCAAATTTCTCGCACACGTTGAATAGAAGGAGCGTCAAACTAGAAATATGTAAAAATACCATTCTTACAGAAACTAAATATCTGGTATTAATTGTAGGGAACAGCCTTGGTCACCATCTTTTCTATAATCTCCGAATGAATATACTCACCAGTTTCTCAGTTTAAGCTGTATTTAAATTTAACAAGAGATTTGCAGACCTGACCGGTGAGTTGGACACCCACACTTAGACACTGATCAAACGGGACACAGTCACTATCATAAAAGGGTAAAATGACATTCATTTGGGAGGTACCTTCACACCTGAACAATGTGTGATTTATTTGCAACATTGTTTACGCAACATGTAAACAAATTACTAAGGCCCGCCCTAAAATCAACATTGTATTCTCTGCTCATAGTCAAACATTGCAACGAGATGCAACACGCAAACTAACAATTGAAACTGCAACACATAGAAACAAGTATGACACTTTTAAACTTGATTTCCTCTCAGTTAAAATTTCACCCGTCATGGTTTTTACATGAATCTTGCACACACTTAGTAGTGAGGTGGCACGAATCCCACGAACTCAAATCCTACGCAGTCTCTCGCCAAAATCCCATTCCTCTCTGGTTCTTTAATTTCTCCATCCTGCACCTTTTTTTCGAACCTTCTTTCCTGATTCTCTTAACTAACTCTCAATTTTCGCTTTCCCAGTTTTACTCGTATGCTATAAAAAAAGAAACAGGAAAGTCGTATCTTATTCAAAAATTTGAGGAATATACGTTTTTGGAATGAATTTTGTATTAATGCCATTTATTTTTTAACAGCATTGTTTTTCCTGACAAATTTCTTCCATGCAATCCGTATCCTAACCTCTCACTTTTATAATTTTCTCTATTTTATTATTCTCTGAAAATTGTATTATTATTCATTTTAAATCATTTGTTATTTCTTTCATCTGCCCCCATCTTTCCTTAAAACCGTTCGAAATGAACACTTTCTATTTCTTATACAGTTAGTTCACACTCTAGAAATC